TACTGCAGATTGTGTGGAGGAAATTGATGCTCAACGGGTATTTGGTTATGCTCTTTTCAAAGATGGAAAACATACACGACTGTCGTATCCCTTGGAAAAGTTTCAATCAGATGTCTCTGGGAGGAGCTTTCACAATGGCCGTTTCATACAGAGGATGCGGAAGAAGGCTGTTTCTCTTCCAAAGTATGTCTTTTCCCCTTTTTAATTCTTATCGAGTATTATTTATTATACTCTCTTTATTTGTTGTTGCATTTTGCATTTAAGAGTGAACGTATGGTGCAAAATTCCATGCTTCTTTGTTCTTTTAGAATCTGAATGGATGTTGTAATCAATTAGATGTTCTTCTGGGACTGTTATCATATCATTGTTTGTACCAAATAGTGTCCACATGATGATGCTTTAGTTTCAGGATATGTTACCTATTCAATGTAGGGTTATGGTAGACTAACTTGTACCAATATACTATCTTCTTAGCAGTTTTTTTTTTAAACTCTCAAGGTGTTTATGCCTTTTTGTAATTCAAATGCCAGTGTTCGATTGGAGCAAGGAACAGTTACTACTCTTCTTGAAGAAAAAGGCACAATTAAAGGAGTGCAGTACAAAACTAAGGATGGCAAAGAATTGACAGCATTTGCACCTTTGACTGTTGTTTGTGATGGCTGTTTTTCAAACTTGCGTCGCTCCCTTTGCAACCCTAAGGTTTGATCCTCCATATTGTTGGTCAATTGCAGTTCCATCTTTGAATTTTGGTTTCTGTTAGTATAAAAAGCAGCCTTTGAATAAAACTCAAAATTTGCCCATTCTCATCCTTTTTTTCAGTAAGAAAACAAGTAGTTTGAATAAAATTAAAATGTCTGTATTGTCATTTGCAGGTAGATGTGCCTTCTTGTTTTGTTGGTTTGGTCCTTGAGAATTGCCAACTTCCATATGCAAATCATGGCCATGTTGTACTGGCAGATCCATCCCCCATTTTGTTGTATCCTATCAGTAGCACGGAGGTTCGCTGTCTGGTTGATGTACCTGGTCAGAAGGTTCCTTCTATTGCAAGTGGTGAGATGGCTGACTATTTGAAAACTGTGGTAGCCCCTCAGGTATATTAGTTGTTCTTATTTCTTGAACTAAAAAACCTTCTTGTTTGTGTTCATTTTCTTCATAGCATTTTCCTTTTCTTATGGATGTCAAAATTGCATTTTGTTCATTGATAATGGGAGTAACCATTGTGTTATGTGTGTTATAGGTTCCCCCAGAACTCTATGATTCATTTATTGCTGCAGTTGATAAGGGAAGTATAAGAACAATGCCAAATAGGAGCATGCCAGCTGCTCCATATCCTACTCCTGGAGCCTTACTAATGGGGGATGCATTTAACATGCGCCATCCTTTAACTGGAGGAGGAATGACTGTGGCACTGTCTGACATTGTAGTCCTACGGGACCTTCTTAGGCCTCTTCGTGACCTAAGTGATGCACCCACACTCTGCAGATATCTTGAATCTTTCTACACCCTGCGCAAGGTAAACTATGTTAATATGCTGGAATTTTGGTAGTCTGATATGATGCCCCTAACTGTTCCTCGGAAGTTATTAGAATGTTAAATTCAATATTGAATAGAACCTACTGGATAATAATGATATAAATTCCATATTTATTCAGTGCACTAAGCTTCTTAATGTTTCTTCTGGCAGCCTGTGGCATCCACGATTAATACATTGGCAGGTGCCTTGTATAAGGTTTTCTGTGCTTCACCTGATCAAGCGAGAAAGGAAATGCGCCAAGCTTGCTTCGATTATTTAAGCCTTGGGGGTGTATTTTCAACAGGTCCTGTCTCACTGCTTTCTGGTTTGAACCCCCGACCCCTGAGCTTGGTTCTACATTTCTTTGCTGTGGCAATATATGGTGTTGGTCGTTTGTTACTACCCTTCCCTTCACCTAAGCGAATCTGGGTTGGAGCTAGATTGATTTCTGTGAGAATCTGCCTCTCTCACTTCAATTTCAGCTGCACTTGCCATCCTAATCTGATTATCATATTTTTCATAAGAGTAATAGCATTTTAATAAATTACTAAAAATATTAAGTTAATACCATTGCAGGGTGCATCAGGAATAATCTTCCCAATTATCAAGGCAGAAGGAGTGAGGCAAATGTTTTTCCCAGTAACTGTTCCGGCATATTACAGGGCTCCTCCTGTTAAATATGAACAAGATTGAAAAGAGATGTATAACTGAAATTTACCAAATTATTCAGCTCCTGCCATGACATGCTAGTTTGCATCATCTTCAGTAAAGAGAAGAAACAAAGCAAGATTGTATCTTTACATCCCCTTCCTTGTTCAAACGAAGTCAACGGGAAGCAAGAAATGTGCATTAGTCAACAGTTTGGTTGTAGGACCTTCGCTCTTTAGGCTGTTCATAATTTTTGTTCTGAGAGACTTTCCAACTCCATGTTGAATGATATCTTCAGATTGCTTAAGTCCCTGTTCTTTTGTAAAATGAATGCAAAGCTTTTGTCATGCTAATCATATTTTTCTTTCACCAGCAATAAGCATTACGGTTTGAACTTGAAATGATTATAATAAGAATGAACTTATATATATATAAAACAAATCATTATTCCCTTCTACATGATTTGTATAGGGCTAAGCAAGTATTGCTAACTACATCACAGCCTCACATTATTTGTACCCCCAAAAAAACCGCTTTATCATCTCTCCGTAATAGCCTAGCAAATGCAACATCAGTATCAAACAGAAGATTCCTGAAAATCCAGTCCTGGGTAAAATCACTGTTCCACAGACAACTTTAAAGCAACAAAATTGCGATATATCGCTTGAAAAATTGCAAGGGACCTCTTAATTGGAGCTTTAATCGTTCCCAACTAGCTCTTCTCACAATCTTTTGTACATGGGTTTTTTTTTTTATACCTTTGTGCTCTTCCTTTCTTGCTTTATAGCCTCATAGGAGATCATTACCTCTTTAAATTTTGCCTCTGCAACTTCTGCAACAAAGAAATTACTTGTAAGAATACAAATCAAAGCAATGTCATCAAGTTACTAGTAGTAAGTGCCAACCACATCCCACCTTTATTATCTAGATTTTGATCTGGGTGGAACTCCTTTGCTTTAGCCCTGAATGCTGTCTGCAAGGATAAAAAGGAACATCACAAAGATGACATCAGAACCAGTGATAGGACAAAGAAGAACACAATTATCTGAACTACTCAAATCTCTTGGATTGATATACCTCATCATAATATAGTATAAAAGCATGGTATTGATGCTAAGTCATACCTTAATCTCATCTTCTGTATATGGTGTTGACCTGGACCTGCATAGGAGTGGTAAAGAAAAAGTCATCATTGGTAATAATGTGCATACATGACATTAACGTGACGAGGAATTAATAGAAAATAGTATATATCAGATGTAAGACAGAGCTATCATAGGATTTCCTAGCTAACTGAAATGAGTGTAACTATTTAGATATTTCCTGTTCATTGGACAGGATGAACCAAGTTGAGGTCAGCATTGCTCTGATGATATTGAATTGGATAAATACTTCAAAACCTGATTATTGTGACAATACTGTTACCTATCAAGACCCAAAACTGAGTAGTGATGTGATAATGGATAGCTTGTGCCATCCCTTCTAGGTGGCCCATAGTTCGTCCTCTGATCTCTATAAGACATGTCTGCCTTCCAATACCAATCATCCCGCTGAAAGTGCTGATGATAAGCACCAGGGCCATTTTCCCTCCAGCTTTCATAGCTCCTTTTGTACTTATTCCTCTCCCTATTGAACACACTCTGCATACGTCTTATACGTTCCTGCAAATGGCAGGAAAAACATATTATAGATGGTACACCATAACAAGTAGCTTCATGACCCAAATTTGAAGTCACATTCAATATAATTTAGTTGATAATATCATAAAAGGCAGCATAAAAGAAAACTGGGCTATAGCAACCTTCATCTGATCCCTCTAAACAAAGAGGAATGAAAAAATTCAGAATGTTTTTGCATCCAATTTTCACACTCACCAATTACCTAATGTTAAGGCCTATTAACTACCTTAAAGATAGAGTACAATTTCCTAACACATTTCATGGTTCTTGAAGAGGAAAATATAAAGAATCTATAGAGAAGTTTCAATGATTGTAGGAAGGAATCGAATAGGTTATCAAGAATAGTCCAACAGAACAAGAACTCACCACTCTCTCCATTTCTTCCTCGTATAGCTCTTGCATTCGTTGGTTGTACCTTCTCCAAGCTTCCTCCTGAAAGGATGTCCGGAATGAAGTTCCAGTGCCACTTTTCGATGATGATTGTGACCTGGTAAACTTTTATCGTACAAATATAAACATGATCAGACTGATATACACATCTTTTCTATATCCATTAGTTTTTCTCTATTTCACAAAATGTCAGAGCATCACATGAGTGGTACATTTTCTGCAAGCATTAATCTAAGTTTTGTTTTTGATAAAAAGAGAGTAAATTTTCACAATATATTTCTTCAGAATTCTCAAAATGAACTAAAAAATCTTACTGCAATTTTGCAACAGAAAAAGAACAAATTCCAACAAAGAAGCTTAAAGCAAGTCCCAAGCATTTAAAACACATTCGTTGGAGATAGGAAACAGAAAAAAGAACTTTTATGTATAGGTTTCTAACCTAAAGACAACTTTGGCTAGAGCTAAAGTCTCTTGGTGATTTTTTTGCAAAGTGGCAGCATGTAATTTTATAAATAATGTCAGTCATTCACAGTTAAACAAAGCTCTTGACTAGAAGCGACACTTGGCTGGCATTAATAGAAAGAAAGAAAAAAAAAAAATCAACAAAGCCATTCAATTCATCATGTTGAAGCACTAAGAGTTGAGGATGCTCAATTACATAAACAGAAACACAAATTGCTTATTATTACCACCTCATATTTGCACATACCTGAGTGTAGAAAAAATCAACAGACCTCCTAAGCTGACCCACCTGCCAAATTCCCAAACAGAGTCAAATTGTAAATTATAACAGAACTAAATCCAACCAACAAACAGTTAACTAAGCCAATAAAAATGCAAATTCATGATTCTTGCCATCTTATTTATGACATTCAGCATGTAAAGCTAAAATCTTTAAAAAGAACAATGTTCGTTTCTAACTCAACCACGCATTGCAGAGTAGAATTACATTCAAATATACCAAAAGATGGGAGGAAAAAGGAAATACAGCAGATGGGGACGCTGGAAGAATTGAAAAACGAGAAGAAAATAAAACTCACGGCGAAAGTGGTGACAGTGGCGCCAATAAGACCGAAGAGAAGGATTCCCCATAGCTTGGGATCATCCTCTTTCCGTAGAGAGGGCTTGCTTTGAGACGACCATTGGCCATCCTTATTCCGGTCAGCAGCTTCGCCCCCCATTTTCAATTCTAATTCTACGGAATTCAGCAAATCTAACTAATCGATTGTAATTGCGTAAAATAAAACCCTAATAGCATGTTTAGGGTTCTTCTTCTTCCTCTTTTCCTGAACCTTATTGTCCCTCTATTTCTTCTCCGACTTGGATTCTGATCGTCGGCGCAATTTTCTCAGATACTTCTCTCCGTCAAAAGAAAAGAAAAGAAAAGAAAATAAAAATTAAGTGTGAGGGACGGTCTACGAGCACGGTTAAAGGCGCTGATAATAACAGTGGTACGACACTAAAAATGTAAAATATTATTTTTAAAAATATTAATTTTATTTATTTTGATTGCTAATATTAATTACAAGTATAATTCTTTGTCTGTTTGTTTTTTAAAT